TGTTGCTGTGACTGTGAGCATTAAACAATTAACATTAAACTAAACAAACACAACAGTACGTTATTGTCCTTATAAAATAAAAACATACATTTTGTCCACCGAGATAATACAGGCACCTTACCCTCAAGAAATCCACACGTGCTATGAGAATCTCCCACAATCCATTGCCGTAACAAAGCTAATGCAGACACACGTTTGTGACACCAGATGGCGCAATTGTGTATGTGCGTGTGGGGAGTCTTGCAGTAGAAAATTCGACTGTAGCGTGGTGGGCTAAGCCCCGAATGTTTCCAGGTCCAGGCAACGCCCCTGCCTTGCACAGTTAACAACGTGGCGCTAACGTCATATATCTGGTGGAGTCTCGGTTACCGGTGCAGACAGGAATCTCACGCCGGGTGAAGGAGTCCAATGCGGCGTCCCCGAGGTCAGAGAGGCTCCAGGTGAGAGTGGAGAAACTGACTCCTGCCAGTGCTTACAAAGGTGGGCACACGCAAAGCATCATGGGTAACAACAGTATGCTTTCTTAAAGTTGTCTCCAGAACAGAGAAGATCTGCACCACGTGTACTACTAACCCTCTTTGTTCAGGATTTAGCTAAATCAGATAAGTACTTATAAGGGAAAGTTGATTTAAAACCTTTTTTTTTGTAATGTTACCTCGTTTATTTTGTCCATGATTGTTGCTGATTTTATTTAAAAGTAAGTAGGGTATGTAAGTTTGAGAAACCGGCTCGAGATCGCTAGAATTTGAAAATAGACGACCGGAGAAAATCTGCCACTTCCTTACAGAGCCCCTCCTCCAACACACAGGAAGGCGCACATGGCCAATGAGGGCACGAGATAAGTTTGTGCACCGATGGAAGGCTGACAGGCAGGTACTACGGCTTCCACAGATGATGGCATTTTATGGATTTGTTGTCAAAGCACTTAAGATATTCATTGCTATCGGGATGTTAAGAGCATTCCATGGAATATAACAAAAAGTGTATCTCGAGCTGGTTTCTCAAACTTACATACCCTACCTTTAATGTTTTCACTGCACAGTATGGAAGAGGATAAGGGCCACGAGATTTCTAAGTGATTTGTAACTAAAAGTAAATAAATAAATTGAATTCTGACTGTTGTTTGTAAAACTATCTTTAATCACATTTATTTTATATATCTGACGTACACAAAAGTAATAATTATGAGATCATTATTTATTTCCTTTATAGCTGAGATTCAAACAGAATCAAATGCTGTGATTATGCTTATTATATAACTGAATATGAGTCATTTCAGATATCTCACTGGCAAGATGTGTGAACAAACTGAAGGTTCATATAGCAAAATTAAAAAAAGATTCTTGAATTAACAAAAAAATCTTCTGTTTTATTTTCATGGTGTCGTACAAAACTAAAGGAGAACATTGGAATATGATGAACAACTGATGCAGTTTTACTTCTTAAAAATGTTAGGAGGATGCTTAGGGTCAGTCTCTTACTCCTTAAAGGGCCCATGTCATGCTTTTCCGGTTATTACCTGGTGTTATGAAGGTTTTTCTGCATGTAAACGGTCTGCAGAGTCACAAACCCTTAAAGTACACCCTGTCGCGAGTACAACTCTAACACAGAAAAGACCTGTCTATGCTGCCCCAGAACGCCTCGTTGGAGATTTCTCATTTTCCATTGTTTGCTTCCTGGGTTCTCTGATGTGTGAATACCCAAATCAACAAAAATGACCGGATTGGCCCAAATGGACCAATCCGGTAATTTTTGTTGATTTTTGCGGAGCACCTCACATATCAGGATCCCTTGGCGAACTAACAGGGAGTCCCCATTGACTTGCATAGAGCTCCCTGAACGCTGGTAATAGACGAGTTGGGATCTCGGAGAAATGCTCTCCGAAGACCCATTCTCACAGCGTTATAAACCTTTTCTTTATCAAATCAAATCAAGTTTTATTTATATAGCACATTTATAAACGTTTTTTGGTTGAGCCAAAGTGCTGTACATATAATAAAAATAGCCTACAGTAGAGACACTTTACAGCTAATACAATAGCACAGATTGTTCAGAATATCAGTATGAGAAAAAACCACACCCTCTGTCCTTAGACCCTCTGTCCTTAGACCCTCACATCGTACAAGGACAAACTTCCGGAGAAAAACCCACAGTTTAAAGGGAAAAAATGGGAGAAACCTCAGGGAGAGCAACAGAGGAGGGATCCCTCTCCCAGGACGGACAGACATACAATAGATGCCGTGTGTAGATTGAAGAGATAATACATTTTACAGCATAGGTAGTCCAAATGTTATTTATTACTCAATACTTACTCAATATCAAGCCACACTTATTGTTTTTACTTCGGCTGTGAGTGTTTGTGTGTGCTCATGAGTTTCGCTGTGTCTCGCTGTATCGCCGACCCGGAACCCTGTCCGCTCCTCGCAGCAGCGGCGAGCAGTAGCGAGCCTCGCAACGTCCCGACCAATCAATCCAATCCAATCCACTTTATTTATATAGCACATATTCAAACAGAGGGTTTTACCGAAGTTCTTCACAGCAGACATAACATTATAATAAAATATAATATTACTATAAAAGATAAAAGGCGCACATAAGAATAGATAAAAAGGCATACATAAGAATAGATAAAAAGGCACTTAAGGGCTATGGACAGACAAATAAAAGCATAACAATCGATAAAACATAGCTCAAACTGACTCGAAAGCGAGGGAAAAGAGGTGGGTCTTCAGGCGGGACTTAAACGTTTGAAGGGTGGGCGACAATTTGACATGGGGGGGCAGGTAGTTCCAGAGCCGAGGGGCTACCGCTGAGAAGGCTCGGTCTCCCCTGGTCTTTTTCCTAGTTTTTGGGACTACCAGCAGCAGCTGATCAGCCGACCTCAAAGCCCTTGAGGGAGTGTACACCTGTAGAAGGTCTGAGGTGTACTGAGGGGTCAGCCCATTAAGCGATTTAAAACAAACAATAACATCTTAAAATGAACTCTAAAATGGACAGGAAGCCAGTGGAGGGGAGCCAGAATCAGAGCACACTGGGCTCACAGGGATGGGGGCAGGAGTTCCAACAAGCCGTTTAGGACAGAGAGTGAATACCTGGTGAATACACATACTATACACAGATGCTGTATGAGAAATCAATGTGATTTTGGAAAATTGCACAATATAAATCTATTCTAGTAGACCTCAACAATGGAATTATGATGAGTAGAAATGGCCAAGACATGGGACCTTTAACAAAAGCATTCCTCGGGGTCATTTCTCAATAACATATAATGGGCTCATTTTAGAGCTCAAATATATAAATGGAGGGCTTTAGAGACAGACAGACAGACAGATATAGATATATAGATACATTGTCTAACTTTTTCAGATACATTTGCTGCTGGTCCAACCACTTCACAACCATGATCTAATACTGGTTTAATTAATTGTATTCAAAAAATAAATTGTATATCTTCAGGCTGAAGCATATGTAATTTCTCTTACCTCTTGCTTTTTGAGGTCAACTTTCTGTTTGATGCCGGCCACTGACCTGGTGTCAGTGTTGCTGCATGAGACACCCGGGGAATAACGGCCAACGTGCTCAAAATTGACATAAAAAATTAAGTAGTTTATGTCTGATTTCCAAGGATATGTTGAGATCTCCATATTAGGTTGAATACTTAAAACGAAAGTTAGTTATAATCAAATATAATCAATTCTATTCTTGTATAACCCACTATGAAAATGCTTCATATTTTATGATTTTCTATATTTACAGTATAAACAAAACACAAGTGGTTTGTTACGTTGAGTGTGTAAGGCTTATTAATGGTTTATGGGTGTCTGATAAGAGAGAGGAGACCGTTTCTTTTTGGAGAAAGACTGAGCCCCCAAAAAGGCGTGTCTTATGCCATAGCCATAGAATATGTCTGGACAAGTCCAGTCCTGTACATCAGAGGCCATGCCCAATTTCCACAAATATGGGTATGGAGGTGGTGGTGGGGGGGGTCCCCTGGTATGCTCTCTCCCTGGAGAGCTGGGGTTTGCCTCGGTAAGGTTCTCTCAACCTTGGTAAATATCGCTTGAATTTCTTTTGTTGAATGCGGAATGAATTGATGTGTGTTGAAAGTTTAGCACCCTGCCACCTGTGAGGAAAGGTCCTCCGAATTCATGCGGGACTAGATGTGTATACGAAATGATTTGTTGAATGCGGAATGAATTGGTGTGGATTTGAAAGTTTAGCACCCTGCCACCTGTGAGGAAATTCCTCCGAATTCATGCGGGAATTGATGTGAATTGATTTGTTGAATGACAGTTTGAATGTGCTTTTTATTATCACCGGTCATTTATGAGGGATGCCTCTAAATTCTGTCGGACGATTTTAAATGTCACAACTGAATTGGGCAGTTGAAGTTACAATTTAGTGTAATAAATATAAAACTGTGAATTGAGGTTTCATATTAGAACATGACCACAGCATGATATGTTTTGTAGGAGTGTCATGTTGTAACAAGAGAAGGTAGAAACCCTGTATAAGTGTGGACCAATTTTTCTTCAAATAAACTGATCCCACCTTTTGGATTGGGACAACTTAAAAGACATCTGCGCTCTCCTCTCCTGCTTAAAAGGTAAGATTGCACCCTGCCACACTCACACTTAGGTAGGGCCACACCTCATTACTGATATCAAAATCCTTCGGGATCGCTTAAACAGATTTAGCGGGTCGTCTGAATTGAAACAGCAGTTAATTGAGCCTGGTTCTCCAGGAGTTAATAGAGGTGAGATTTTGCTGACGTTGGTGGATCTGAGCCAAGCAGTAAACTTACATAGACTCAATAACTTCTGTTCGGTCAATTAGTAGGTCTGGGTAATTTGCCGGAATAAATTATCAGCCCTCCCGACTCCCAAGAATGAGTAACTGCTTGTTATCACATGTCCGTCCTTCCTTAAATATAACATCGCAGCCTTGTGGAAAATTGCTTAAATACCAAGTACAAAGGGAAAGAAGTAACTCGGAAATACTTTCTTATATTTTATTGTGATGGGGAGTCATAAAAATGGAGCAAAACTAAAATATAAACAATACAAAAAAGACAGTGGATTTACAAAGGGTGAGAACAAACGGTATGCAGCCTTCGACAGTACAATGGAACAAGTTGGCACAGAACAGAAAAACATTGTGGCGGGACAATCTTAATTTGGCTTTCGAAATAAAAAGGGAGGCTTCATAACAAGATCCTTCATTAAAACGGCAACTACTCATGCTTTTAAAATCACAGAGTTCAGAATTCAGTAGCTTCAGAACGACGCAAAGCGCGGATGCACAACAGTTTCTATTTCTCATTTCATTCCTGTCTTTTTTCTTAAGCTTAAAACAGAAGTCATGTTTACAGAATACAAGTTTTCTCATGTTTTTTTGTTTTTTGTTAGAACAAACTTCAGCTCCCAGAACCACATTGTGGGCTTTTTTTTTTTGTTTGTCTTGAGATTGTTTTTCATACTAAAATATATTATTGTATCAATTCAAACTACAGTAATGTACACTACAATGTGTAATAAATAACCATAAAAGAAAATATAAAAATAAGACACATAAATATAAAAGGTTTTCTAAAAACTAAACGGGTACATTTTTTTTTATCTGTGAAAAGGGTTCTAATACTGCCATTGTTGAAAAAAAAATAAAAACATACATGAAAAAACAAAGAAATTAAAACAGACACATATTATAAACACTGTTCGGTAAAAGCAACTGAAAACACTTTTTGTCATAGGCCACATTCACTAACGTTTGTTACCTGAAGTGCGGGACAGCTTGCCATAACTCTTCCTTCTTATTTTAACAAGTGCACACGTTTGGCTGAATTTAAAAATCCTTCATTTTAATCACTAATGGTTTTGTATATTTATGTAAACATATTTAAACTGACTTGTGACATAAGTCTAACATATTCTTTAAAAAAAAAGCTTTAAACATCAACTGATTATATCAAATTTACAAGGTATTTTATATCCACAGGTTAGCTCAGTCTGGACTGTATTTCTCAAACTTTTCCACATATTATAAGATTTTAGTAAACTCATCGATTGATATCCAGCTTGTCCTATGTGATGATTTGCTGCTTTTGTCGTTTTATATAACTGTAAAGTTAATATATTTAAATGTTAACATTACTTTCCGGCAAAAACAAGACATCTGAAGACTGCATCTTGGGCTCTTTAAACTATTTTCTGTAACTTTATGAAAAATAACGTGTTAATAAATCCAATATAAATGTCACTTGAAGTTAGTTAAAACCCTAATACTGTTTCCAAGTTTTCATGTGTCATCCACAATTCTCCTTAAGTCCCTAAAATATTTCAATTAATTTCACAAGGAAGTATATTTTAGCAATTGTGACAAATCAGCTGTTCTGTGCAAGTCGCCAAACATTAGTCAATATGGGTCTTGTGTAAGTAACAGAGGGACATAATACTGGCTACATGTGTGAGGAAAGAAAATGATAACACTGTTCAATGGCACTTTTAACAGCACACAGGTCTTGCATAAGGCTGGAGGCATTGGGGTGGAGCAGGGAACAGCCCTGTTCCTTCACATACAGTATGAATTCATATATAAGCTAGTAACACTGAAACACTGACTCAGAAATAAGGAGAAGCTCTGTAAGAGTGGGCGCATGTGTTTTTGGAACCACAGCTGAGCCAATCGAGGTGGAGGCTGCCTTTCAATCTTCACCTGGAGACTCCACCCATTTCAGGCTGCGCCGGGTTGCTAAACATGAGCGCCTGATGCTGGCTTTAAGGTCGTGACTCCACCTTCCCTGATAGGAAACATTTGGTTATGGCATACGGAAGCCACCTTCTGCTCCCAGACTCCCCATCCCGCCCACAACCCTCCCCAATAATACTTTGTTTTCCTTAAGGCTAACAGTCAAACTGAAAACAAAAGTAATGCTAGCTAGCAAAGACTAACACTAACACAAACAACATCTCGCTAGCTAGTGTACGTATATAACACTGAAGGGCATACAATGCATGAGGCATGTATCCGTAGGTAAACCAGGAATACTGTAGTGCAGAGGTTTTTGTTCGTAGAACTCAATAAAATACTGATTTTAGGAAACTTCATTGGCAATAAAAAGGTATAGAAATCTTTCTCATCTTTACAGGTTAAAATGTTTTCAAAGAAAAACAAGATTAGTAACACTGACCAAATGAAAAACAAACAAACAATAAAACAACCTGGGATGTTCAGCAACACGTCTAACAAGTTGATGGGTGAGTTTCAAATCTGTACTTCTATAAACAATTTTTAACACTGATATTTCATTTCCACAAGAAAAAAAAAGTCACTGTTTTACTTTTTTCAAGTTCAGGCACACCTGGGTTTTTGTACACAGTAGTGGACCGTTAAGATCAGGCAACCGCCGTGACTTTGTGGATTTTTCTGCGGTTTTGTCTTAGATAACTCGACTTCAGTAACCGAGGCATTCGAGCTGTCCCCAAGACATTTCTCTCTCCTTTATTTGGCGTCTGTCACCACTTCATCTGCGGGTTCGGCGCTCTCTGACCCCTCCCTGACGCTTTTGTCCGTATTTGCTTCACAGTCGGCACTTTCCTCTATATCCTCACTTGCTGCTTCCTCCTTTTCTTCGGTTGTTTCCTCCATCTCTTCGTCGTCCATGTGATGGTCCCCGACCTCGATCTCCATCACATCACACGCAAGCTCCTTGCCCGTCTTCTCTCCTTCCGCCTCTTCCTCTTCTGTCATGTCTCCCTCCACAATCTCCTCTCCCTCTTCCTCCTCCTCCTCCTCGTCGTCGGTATCGTCAAAGTTACCCTCGTAGATCTCGCACTCGCCGTCATCCACCTGCACGACCCGGATGTCGTCCATACAGATGGCTTCATCGTCGTCGTCCTCCTCTTCCTCGCTCTCCCTCTCGTCTGAGTCCAGTTGGGAGGGCGGGGTCGTGGTCCGGCTGTCCGATTGCAGTCCGGTGCCGGGGCTGCCGAGCTCCGACTGAACACTACGTGGCCCCGCGCCGGAGCCAGTGTCTGGACCGTCCTTCTTGCAGTAGGAGTAGCGGTGGTTCATGTGCTGGGAGTACGATCCGGAGTGAGAGAAACGCTTCCCGCACTTGTCGCACTGATAGGGTTTTTCCCCGGAGTGCAGCCTCGAGTGTTCGATCAGGTGGTGTTTGTGTTTGAAGGCCTTCTCGCAGATGTTGCACTCATGGGGCCGTTTTCCTGCAGATGATAGAAAAAAAGAGTCAGACTCAAACTGCCTATGCCTGCAATATAACACAGACTAGTCAGATTAAAGTCACTGTAAAGTGATTTATGGCATATATACAGAGCAGTGTTTCCCCTACCACCAACGGAGCCAATTATATAGCACCAAATTGCAACTAATCTATATCTACTTTCACTCTTCACATTGAAAATGTGCTCTTTTATTAAATAAACTAAACGCTTTCATTTAAAGTTGTGAGTTTAGTGTTTTTGACCCTAAGAAACACTGATGCATGAATCAATAACAATAATCCACAGCTCCTCTCTCTGCTCCAGAGGATTTAAAAAATATATATCCCAATGCCACTGAGCTGTATCCATAAATCTCTTAACGTGTGCTCAAAATGCACCAGATTGATATGACTCCTGTTGGAAGTTGCGCAACAGCGGTAATTAAAGTTTAAAAGTCTGAAAATGCTACAACTACTGTCACAAACTGGATGAATGTGAAGTATATTGTTAAAGGAGGATGAAAGCGTAATTAAGGAGCACTTTTGGATTGACTTCGATGGTTATTGGACTCAGGATTAATTCATTTGGATTCCCGCTGTATGAAGAAATTAAAGGACGGGAAACAATGGCAGTGGAAACAATTCACAAAGGGATTAAACTGTTTAAAACACATGCTCAAAGTAAGCCGGATTTTGCCGATGTGTTTATGTGGATTCAAAAGTCGTAAATAATCTACAAAATGGAGGAGACCGATCTGATCAGAGCAACTGTGACAAATAATCCAACTGAAACCGGCATGGTCAATAACTATGTTTTTAAAATGCGCTTATCCAGACAAGCCTGGTTTGGACACTTTACAGGGAGAAGAAACATTTATATTAAAGAAAGAATTATACATTTCTGTCTTTTTATGCCTTTAATACTAACTTGAATTTTTATTAAAATTAATTAATCAATTATTTTTTATATTTTATTGTAATAAAGAGACAAGGCTTTTAGTGACAATCATGTATTGCCTTACAATTATATGTAAAAAAAAAAAAATGTTAAAAAAAAAGTCTAAATATGATATTTGGCCTCAAATCATCTGAGGCCTGGCGCCCCCCCCTGCGATCTTTGGCGCCCCCCCAAGGGGTGCGCGCCCCCCAGGTTGGGAACCACTGCCCTAGAGGATGTGAGGTCCACCAAATAAAGCAGGCTCACATGGAGAGGATATTAGATAAGTTTGCCAAGCATTATACACTACACATTTTCTTGGATTGCACCATAGTCCTAACAAATACTTTGTTAGAAAGGCAAGAAAAGGGATTCAAATCGAGAACTATTTCCATTGCGGAGGGCCCACAGAAACCCAGTTTTGTGTCCCCCCCCACAGAAACCCAGTTTTGTGTCCCCCCCCACAGAAACCCAGTTTTGTGTCCCCCCCCACTTCTCAAACCAAAGTAACTTTCTCCCCCCCACCCTGCACGGATCGCCACCATCAGACCGCCCTACCCCGCCCTGGCATCACCCCCCCAAAGCAGTAAACCTAGGGGAAACACTGCAGAGAGATGCCGCCTCAATTTTTAACAGATGACAAGGGGTCAAGTTTTAAGAGCATTCAAACCAGAATATTTTGGAGCCACTGCTTTATAATAATAATAATAATAATAATAAATAATATTTTTATAGCGCCTTTCAGGAAACCCAAGGTCGCTTTACAAGTCGGGTAGGGGGGGGGGGGGAGTAGGGGAAAAAAGGCAGACAGGTTAAGGGGGTGGGGGGGGGGGGGGGAAGTAGCGGAAAAATAAACCTATTAAACTAACTATACAGTGGCGAAAGCCTTGGTAAAAAGGTGCGTTTTGAGGGCTTTTTTGAAAATGTCCAGGGTTGGGGCGCTGCGGATTTCGGGGGGGAGAGAGTTCCAGAGGGTGGGGGATGCCACACTGAAGGCTCTGTCACCAAAAGTCCGCAACCTGGTGCGGGGGGTGGAGAGGAGATCCGCGGGGGGTGGAGAGGAGATCTTATTTATGGTAAATAAGCCTGAAATAATTCACAATTTTACATAAAGATAAGAGTCATGCTGGTTAAAGAACCATTCTCCATCTTTGCTAAGTTGACAAAGGAGTGTTAAGTTCTTCAGGATGCACGTAAACAAGAGTGTTTTTCATTCTTTAAATGAAAGCTGGCACAGTAAGTCAGTCAGTAAAACAATGCCCTTAAGAACAGTTTGTTAGACAGGGCGTGTGAAGTTGTCTGTGGTTTGTGTTTATGTGGACGACGTCATGCCTGAACCAACACCTATGCACAGTAGTGAGGCGCACAGATAACTGTTCACAGACTTTAATAAAAAACACATTCCAATGTGAGTGTAGTTGGAGCTTGAGGGATCGGGTTAATTCACCTCAAGGGTCTCATCTTGATAAATACTGAGGATCCTTCTGAGCTGCTATATTTACAGGCCAGCTGTCCCATAAAAAGTATACCATCTAATGAGAGATGATGTAAAATGTAAAGTCACAGGTTTGAGAACTAGAAATATCTTTGGGCTAAATAGGAAAACAGAAAACGAATAAATGAAACTAGACTTAGTCGAACTAGTAAGTTAGTGTCTATATTAGCGGTTCCCAACCTTTTTAAACTCAGGGCCCACTAAAGAATCTAAACATTTTTCGCGTCCCGCATTCAACCATAAACAACATGGAGGCTAAATAAAGTTCTGATTGGTCAATTCAGAACATGTGACACGTTGTTAATCCAGTAGTAGAGACCGCCGTCAAGGACTGTAATGACCTTTGCTAAGGAGGATCAAGAAAGAGAAAGCAAAGGAGGTTCGAATAAAATTAAAAAACGTAATAATGAAAATGTTTCCACACAAATCCTAATGTTTTGCAAATTATTTGGCGGCCCACTTGCAATGCCTCCCACAGGCTGGGAACCGCTGGTCTATATCATTGTCAGCTAGCTTCAATCCTTCAGCAGTCAGCCTTAACTCCGGACAATTCCCCTTGAGTTTCAGAGCCTGGCATCTGCTCGCCTCCAGTCTGCTTCCCAGCCGCTACCAGCTGCTATGATTCAGCCTGATGTTTCTTACTTTGTCCGTGTTCAGCTCCGATACCTTCAGCCTGATGTTCCCTGCTACTCTCCTGTACTCTGACCCATTGTTTGAAATCACTTTACCTCCTTTTGATTGTCTGTCCCACCCTGAATCTCGTAATCTTAACATTTGAGTATATTTAGTGACCATGTGTGAGCCAACTTTCAATGTTAAGACATACAGTGGGGCAAAACAGTATTTAGTCAGCCACCAATTGTGCAAGTTCTCCCACTTAAAAAGATGAGAGGCCTGTAATTTTCATCCTAGGTACACTTCAACTATGAGAGACAGAATGGGGGGAAAGAATCCAGGAAATCACATTGTAGGATTTTTAATGAATTAATTGGTAAATTCCTCGGTAAAATAAGTATTTGGTCACCTACAAACAAACAAGATTTCTGGCTCTCACAGACCTGTAACTTCTTCTTTAAGAGCCTCCTCTGTCCTCCACTCGTTAACTGTATTAATGGCACCCGTTTGAACTCGTTATCAGTATAAAAGACACCTGTCCACAACCTCAAACAGTTACACTCCAAACTCCACTATGGCCAAGACCAAAGAGCTGTCAAAGGACACCAGAAACAAAATTGTAGACCTGCACCAGGCTGGGAAGACTGAATCTGCAATAGGTAAGCAGCTTGGTGTGAAGAAATCAACTGTGGGAGCAATTATTAGAAAATGGAAGACATACAAGACCACTGATAATCTCCCTCGATCTGGGGCTCCACGCAAGATCTCACCCCGTGGGGTCAAAATGATCACAAGAACGGTGAGCAAAAATCCCAGAACCACACGGGGGGACCGTCAATGACCTGCAGAGAGCTGGGACCAAAGTAACAAATGCTACCATCAGTAACACACTACGCCGCCAGGGACTCAAATCCTGCAGTGCCAGACGTGTCCCCCTGCTTAAGCCAGTACATGTCCAGGCCCGTCTGAAGTTTGCTAGAGAGCATTTAGATGATCCAGAAGAGGATTGGGAGAATGTCATATGGTCAGATGAAACCAAAATAGAACTTTTTGGTAAAAACTCAACTAGACGTGTTTGGAGGAGAAAGAATGCTGAGTTGCATCCAAAGAACACCTACTGTGAAACATGGGAGTGGAAACATCATGCTTTGGGGCTGTTTTTCTGCAAAGGGACCAGGACGACTGATCCGTGTAAAGGAAAGAATGAATGGGGCCATGTATCGTGAGATTTTGAGTGACAACCTCCTTCCATCAGCAAGGGCATTGAAGATGAAACGTGGCTGGGTCTTTCAGCATGACAATGATCCCAAACACACCGCCCGGGCAACGAAGGAGTGGCTTTGTAAGAAGCATTTCAAGGCCTAGCCAGTCTCCAGATCTCAACCCCATAGAAAATCTTTGGAGGGAGTTGAAAGTCCGTGTTGCCCAGCGACAGCCCCAAAACATCACTGCTCTAGAGGAGATCTGCATGGAGGAATGGGCCAAAATACCAGCAACAGTGTGTGAAAACCTTGTATTGAGATGAACTTTTGTTATTGACCAAATACTTATTTTCCATCATAATTTGCAAATAAATTCTTTATAGATCAGACAATGTGATTTTCTGGATTTTTTTCTTCTCATTCTGTCTCTCATAGTTGAGGTATACCTAGGATGAAAATTACAGGCCTCTCTCATCTTTTTAAGTGGGAGAACTTGCACAATTGGTGGCTGACTAAATACTTTTTTGCCCCACTGTACCTGTGTGTTCATATTTGTGCCTGAGCAGGGAGCTGCCCTTCTGGAAGACTTTGGAGCAAAGGTCACATGGGTAGAAGCCGTTTTCCAGCCGTCGCTTCTTCATCAGTGAATCGGAGTCATTCTGCTCCTCCACTGTGGAGACGCCGTCCGACCCGCTGTCCACTTTCTTTTCCAGCTGTGTATGGAAGAAAATTACATTTATCAGTGTGGTCACGTTATCAATCGCCATGTGTAGGGGCATAAAGTTAAAGTGACCATAATTAGTTTAGACTTAATAATAATAATAATAATTAATTGCATTTATTAGAGCGCATTACATATTACACATATCAGACATGTAACAGAGAAAACTGTGAACAATACCCACAGGAGCAAATTAGGATCCCTGTTTAAATGGATTCTCTGGTAGGTCATGACTGTGAATGTTAAGGCTTTTCTACGACTAAGTTGTCTTTGCAGAGCTGATCTGTGGTCAGATTAGTGGTAGTGGTACAGATACAACACATAATGTTTAATAATAATGTTTGTTTTCACACATACATGTAAATATATCTAATATATGACCCAATGTTAATTTTAATATAATTAATTTCTTATTTTATAGTTATTTTATAATTGTATTTTTATCTTTCATTTTATCTTTGATTGTATTAATCTGTGTGAATCTGTGCTGTCCTGATTTTCATTCTTACCCTGTTACTGTTAAACTACTGAATTTCCCCACGGGGGTTAATAAAGGTCAATCATATTTCATCTTATCTTAACACTACCAACCTTATGGCCGTTGAGCACGACAGTCTTGGCTCCAGTGGCGTTGCCGGCCGTAGTGGCGTAGGTGTAGGTGAGTTGTGGGATGAGGATGGTGCGTTTTGTGGTGGTGTTGATGGCGCTGAGACAGCCCATCGTGCCCTGACTGGCGATGGCTACTAATGTGGGCAGCTGTGCGGCAGTGATGACGTTGACAGATCCTCCACTCTGAGGCGTGGTGATGTAGATGGTCCGCCCCTCTAGCTGCTCCTTCCTCAGGCAGGTCAGGTTCAGAGGATGTTCCTGCAGCTTGACAGGAGTCCCGCTCGTTTCTAATGCTGCGATATGTTTAGGGAGGGAGAGGTCGAGCGGCTCGGCCTGGGAGTCCGGGGCATCTGGGTCTTCTGGGTCTTCTGGCTCGCTCTTAACGATGACGAGGTCCCCGGTGTTGAGGCTTAGTGGTGAAGAGTCTGATGGAGAAGAGTTGCCAGATTGTGATGAGGCTTGGTTGGATGTTTCTTTGGAGCTGTCGTTCTCTGCCTCTCCATTCTGGTCCTCTGAGATCGAATTCATGGTTTGTGTCTTTGTTGAAACTGCTGTGGTTTTATTTCCATATTTGCACGCATTTTTCCCAAAGTTCATCTTTACAAACCACTTTCTGACCACATCAACGGGAATACGGACAGACTCTGAGATCTTTGTCAGCTCCTTGTCGCTGGGGTTGGCATCAGAGGCGAAGTACGTCTTGAGGAGTGAGAGGAGATCGTCCACAGGCGGCTCCTCAAGCGTGACCCCCGCCTCGCTCAGCAGAGCAGCGAACGAGGGGTCCAAAGCAGCCGAGTCAACAGCCTCTCCATTGGCTGCTTTACGGTGCTGAAGGAGGTGTAACGCCTCCAGGTTGTCGGGACAGTCATCGCAGAGTAAACATGTACTGATGCTGCTGACTTTTGGCCTTTGATTTGATCGGATCGCTGATGTAATTTCTGTCTGTTTGACTGCCTCTGTCTCCATGTCTGTGATGGCCACTGATTCTGGCTCTCTTTTAACAATGGAGAGGTCGGTCACCTCTGGGGTTGAAGGCCTATCTGTCCTGGTGGGAGTGGGGGCTGCAGCAGTGATGATAGTGGGAAGGAGAGCAGGATTGGTTTTGGCAAAAAGCGATGCAGGCTGGGTAGTGGCAGTGGTGGCGGCTGCAGGGCTGATGCTGTAGTTGATGATGATCTTCGTGGTGCCGTCATGATCCACAAAGGCCGGCAGACTGATGATCTGATGCTGGGGCTGCTGGAGTACAATTCCATGCTTCCCCTGCGTCACCAGCCCGTTAGCTGTCCCCAGCACCTGCCTGAGCACGTTCCCGTCCATCGCCACTTTGAGCACATTCTGCAAGTCGTTCAGATTGATGCTGATGGGCGACATGAGGCCGACTGTGGGTACGACCATAGCCACCCCCGGGGGCAGGGTAGTAACTAGAGCCGGCTGCTCCGGCCCCCCCGTTGGCAGCGACTGAAGTTGCCGTTGCCGCCGTCACAGGCTTGCACTCGTACTCCACAGGTTCAGATTTGATCTGGGTGATGGGCAGCTGCTCCTGGAGGGGTTTGCTTTCAGTCTTCTCTTTAAGAATGTTGCGCGCTGGAGCAATTACGATGGGTGTTGTCTGGGTGGTGGGTGGGGGGGATTTGATCGAGGTCCGAGCGACGCCATTGGGGGGTGCTGCACCTACACACTTCTTACTGCTGATGTGGGAGCTGTAGGAGCCTGAGTGGGAGAATCGCTTCTTGCAGTTGGAGCATTCATAAGGTTTCTCACCTAACAGGGGCAGACAGAGAATCTTTGTTTAAAAAGTGTGTTCTATCAAAACTAAAATGTGTTTGATTCACAAAATGGCCAAATCTGATCAGCTCATTTTCAGATATTTTTATATAGATGGATCAGGACAAAAAGAGAGGGGGTCTTCTTTCCTGTAACTTTCCCAATCTCTTAACACATATTGGGGGACATATGTATGTATAAAAGACATGGAAAAGTGGATTTTGCACAATAGGTGACGTTTAAGTGAAGTAGAGAGAGTGGCAGCTCACCGCTGTGAATGCGCAGGTGCTCCTTCAGGTGGTGCTTGTACTTGAAGGCCTTGGAACATTCGGTACACTTGAACTTGCGGGTTCCACCTGTTCCTCCTGTTCCACCTGTCGACTGGGAAACGTGGCGCTGCAATATTAGATTCAATTCAACTTTATTGTCGTTGCACATAGTACTAAGACAACGAAATGCAGTTAGCATCTCACCAGAAGTGCAAAACAAGCAGCGATATTTAAGTAGGATATAAATATAAACATGTGACGGATATAAACAAACTGATGTCTTCACACTATGAGGACTATAAGGATGTATACACATATATATATAAAAAGCAGTAAAGAAGTTTTATGTGACCAGATGTGTCCGTAACATAGAAAGAGTCTTAATTTGTCTATTGTTAGCAAGAGCATTCATGGGGGTAAAGAATCAAATGTAAGAGAGTGGTAAAAGCTTTGACCTTTAGATTTTATTCATGTTAACTGTATGTCAGTTTAAAAGGAACATTGATTATCTTTTTGACATTGTTTTTTTATTTTTTTATTCATATTTCTATTGAATATTTATATAGAGCAGTGAAATATTGGCGGTACACTGCACGAACAATAAAAATCTATTTGACATTTTAGTTGTTGACTGTACTTGCAGATGGAGAAGCTGTACTTTAATGTTAATACCAATACTCAAAATAATAATTTTAACGTAGATTATTTTGTCAGGTGACCAGCAGTTACAAAACCAAATCTCCCTTTAAACACAGCTAATAGTCATGAATATGAATTGGAAATTCAAAGTACAAGGTCCAAGTAAAGCAGATATAATAGTAAAAACTTGTAATCTGAATACAAAAAATGAAATATAAATAAACAATCCAAAATATAAGATTTCCAGAGAAAAATAAACGGTACCACTTTACAATAAGACTACCCTTATAAACGATTTACGAATAGTTTGTCATTCATTTATTAATTAGGTTGTGAACACTTTATAAATCATTAATAAGCTTTTAATAAGACACGAGATCAACAGGGCAACTGTGACCGGTTGCTTGCCAAATAGTGAGCCCACATTTATCTGTACTGCTAAGCCTTATTAGAAATGGTAGTAACTCATTAATGTGTTTTACACTTTACAACAAGGCTCCCTTTTGGCAACTATAAATGTTAGTAACTCGTAAATTAATGGTCATAAAGAGATGCCAAGAAACATCAAGATGGATGGGGGGGAATCAACTCGATGAACAACAGATACCAAGGATGCTGGCTGATGAAGAAGACGAAGTAAGCTAAGTAGCCAATATAAGGCTTAGTCATCTTGCCAAATAGTGAGCCCACATTTATCTGTACTGCTAAGCCTTATATTGGCTACCTAGCTTACTTTGTCTTCTTCATCAGCCAGCATCCTTGGTATCTGTTGTTCACTGTGTTGATTCTCGCTAAGTAGCCAATATAAGGCTTAGTCATCTTGCCAAATAGTGAGCCTGTGTTGATGTATGAAAACTATGTTAGAACTGGTTTATAAATGGTTCTTAATGATTAATAAAGTGTTTACAACCTAATTCATAACCTAATTATAAACCTTTTATGAATCCTTTATAAGGGTAGTCTTATTGTAAAGTGGTACCAAATAAACCTTATATAGTAAGATTTTTCCAGCCTTAAAAACCAGACTCTCTTTATATTTGAGACTCCGTAAAATAGGTTAATGGTCACTGCTTTATTATGGATTATTTGACCCTGTGTTTGTCTCATCCTACAACAGCCCACAGTTTATCAGAATCAGAAACAGGTTTATTACCAGGTAGGTTTACACGTACGAGGAATTTGACTTGATGTCGTGGTGCATACATAAAAAATAACATGAACAAATATTAGAAATAATTAAAAATATAGTAAAATTCTCCGATGTTACCTGATCCTTGGGGCCCCGGTGGTGGATCATGTGCCTCTCCAGCTGCGAGCGGTAGGTGAAGGTGTAGCTGCAGTGCGAGCAGCTGTAGTTGTCCTCGCTGGTCTCGTGGCGATACTTGATGTGCTCCTTGAGCGAGGCGTTGCGCTTGTAGCCCCGCGAGCAGTAGGGGCAAGTGTGCAACTGGGAGAAGGAGTCTGGGGTGCCTGGGAGGGAGGCAACAATGAGAGGTTCAATTCTGCCATCAATTATCTGACTTACACTTTGCTTCATCAAAAGTGTTTTTTTAGATAGTTTATTTGAAAATATCACTCGTCACCGGCTTGAGCTTCAATATCAGGATACATGTATTTATTATCCTTGCAAGAATGGAAGTAGTCATCACATACAGAGCATTTGGTACAGCTAGTTCCTGAACAGTGTCCTTCACATGCTGATATACAAGAGAGGGAGTTACACAGTCACAAGATGGAGGAATAGAAAGCAGTATTCAATGTTTACTTCAGATTAGCTCCACGTCAGAAATGAGCATGCTTGTCATATGTCTATCTCCATAGAGGCTGAATCATCATGTTAATCACATAGCTATCGTATGCCTCAAACAGTCCTGATGCTCTTCTAGGTCATCATACATCCTGTCATGTTCACAGCTACAGTTGGGATACCTTTGTTATCATGTTACTCTCACATTGGAAGAGGACATTCAGTATTTTTCCAACAGTTTCTAAGGGGTGGCTGTGTCCCACCTTTCTGTTCCTTTTGAAACAGACGACATGCATGTTACTAACTCGGCTTCCCCGGAGTTTGAGCGTCTCTCACCTGACAGGTTGTCAGTATTAAAGGTTAAATGTATTATCTATTTAATTTATAGGGAAAGGGATCCTTCCTCTGTTTCTCTCTCTCGAGATTTCTACAATTTTTTACCCGTTAAACGTGGGGTTTCTTTGAGGGTTTTTCCTTGTATGATGCAAGGGTCTAAGGAAAGGGGGTCTCGTATGTGTGTAAAGCCCCCTGAGACAAATGTGTAATTCGTGATATTAGGCTATATAAATACAATTTGATTGAATGATTTATTGACAGTCTGGAGCTATTTTAGGTTGTGATTGGCGAGTTGTGTGTCCTCATGTTATGTCTTGATATTCTCTAACGTTAGTCGCCTTAAACTTTAAAAGCTGCTAATGTAGCATGAGCTACTAGTGGTGGAGTGCAGGAGCTGGACTTTGCTGATCTTTGAAGCTGAGTGAGTACGCAGAGATGTGTTTGTTTTAAATGTTACCGTTTTCATCGGCGCCTCCTGTCTCTGCCGGGCTCTGCTCATCCTCGGGGGCTTCAGGAAAGATGACGGGGGTGTCTCCCTGCTGGAGGATATCATCCACTAGAGAGTCCTTCTCAGCATCCTCCTCCTCCTCCTCTTCCTCCTCGTCGTCCTCCTCCTCTTCGGACACATACTCCTCCTTCACTAAAAACACACACGTAAAAACAAGGTTTGAGGGTTTATGCATTGGAGCAGGGTGAACGACTTCTTGACCGGTGACAAAAAGTCTCCATCCATCTGGTACTGTAGATATTTACAAAACTGCCTCTGTAGTGATGACTGAATCAGCCGCTGAATGTGATGTTGTTTTGCAGGAGAACCACTAGAGAGCGCCTCGGGGTCTTGTTATGAGCATGTTCCTCTCTTAAACTCTTTACAAAATCAATGCCTGGAGAACACACCTTTCCCCCAAAAGTTAAATGTTTTTGTTTATTTGACAATTAACCAAATGGCTCTGAAGGACCTATTCAATATTCCTGGTGTCTCCCTATTTTCTGAAATATGTCTGAAGTGAACAGGATGGAATAAAAATAGATGAATCACAAACAACTGTTGATAGCTAGGGAGGCGTGTGGCGCAGTGGATAGAGCCTTGGTGTTGGGATCAGGGTGTCACAGGTTCAAACCCCACTGCAGTCAGCATGTCGTTGTGTCCCTGAGACACTTCACCCCAAATTGCTCCTGTGAGGATTGCCCACAGTATTGAGAATGTAAGTCGCTTTGGATAAAAGCATCTGACAAGTAACAAGCAATAGCTAGATATTGGCCAAATGTTTAAAACTCTTCACACCTCCAAAAGAGGCCAAAACCTGTGAATGAGGAATGCTGAGAGAAAGCTGAAAGGAGCATCACTTTAAATGACTCAGAGCTCACGTCTCCTCTTGATCCTGTATCTCTGTATCTTTCTGTACAAAATCAAGTGCAAACATTTGAAAAATCACACAAGAAATAAACCACTTAAGTCACAGCTTGCTCCCCTGACCCTTTTGAGTGCAATATTACTTAGGTTAAAGGGAAAATACCCAAACTTCTGTTCAAGTAGAAGCTGTTATGTGCAGAAAGCTAGACCTTAGAAGTTATTTAGTTTTCTTTCCAAATAGAATTTCAGAAAGAAAAAAAGAGGAGGAATAGTTAATCCATACCTTGTACATTTGGAAAGTCGATACCTCAAATTATACTTTTAGTTTGACGTCTTACATTTGCTATGTTTGCTTTGTATATGCACAGCACCTTGTTTTGAATGTACCGTATAAGTATTCATTATTTGTTGGTGTAAGAGCTAGGTTCACCATGGTTTGTCATGTTTGGGTTTAAGCCGTCTCAACTGTGTGTTATTTGCTCTGTGTGCCATAGGGTGGCGCTGTCCTGTTACCTAGGAACAGGTATTTAAGCTGTGTCATGTCGCATGATTGAGTGTGTTTAACCCCGGTAAGGCATATGGTTTTTGATCACCAAAGCGCACGTGTTTGTAAGTACTGCAAGGATTGTCTGATCAATTAATAGAATATATGGACTCACTCTACTTTTACGAGGCACACAAACACAACAAATGGATTGTATTATGCTGCAACTGGAATTGAGACTCTTCATTAAAGCAACAAAACTAACGGTACCTTATCCACACAGTATAGCGTGTCACACGAGGAGTTTTAGTTATGAGTCTAAAGCTCCTACAGTCGGATCAGAACGTCACCACTTGTAGTCGATGGCGTCTGTTGCCTTGTTGTTTTAGCTAATGATATTTAACAGCAGTTAGTAGAGACGTTTCTTCACTTTCTGTGTGTGAAAACATGAATAAGCACAAGAAGTGAGGTTAAACATCGACCAGCGTTGCCATGGAGAACAAGCAATTTAAATGCAGGCAAAGGCCTCTTCCTGCTGAGCCTTGTCAGGGACAGGGACAGGTGCAGCTGTGTGTGTGTGTGTGTGTGTGTGTGTGTGTGTGTGTGTGTGTGTGTGTGTGTGTGTGTGTGCGTGTGTGTGTGGTGTGTGTGTGTGGTGTGTGTGTGTGTGTGTGTGGTGTGTGTGTGTGTGTTAAGGAGAGGCGGGACCAGGCCGAACCCTGTAAAGCTTTATTTTAAAGACACAAAACTTCCCATGATCTCATCCAAAAGCTTTCCAAATCTCTCCCCCCCCCCTCAGAGACTCATCTAACTGTCACCATGCTTCTTTCTCCCTACTCATCCCCCTTCCTCTTATAACCACTTGTTTAATTATAAATGCCTTTCCTAAAGACCAATAATAATATCCTGAAGACCAAATGACGACTTCACAGAGCTGTGTATTGTCTGAAAAATAGTCCACTGATATTTAGTTCACAATCTCACAAAACAAAAAAAGCAAATATTTAATATTGAAAAGCTGGAACAGCGAACCGTTGTCAGTCCCCTTGAGAAATCTCTCCATGATTTTTCACACAAACAGAGGTTATCTTTCTTGCGCTTTGTATGTCTGAACTGTGATTAATCGTTGTGTTGTTTGCCATCAGAATTAGGGTAACGAAGTAAGAGATTTAGCTCTTTTCCAATTGTTAAGGCATTTCATTTGGACAGATATATTCACAAAAAACAACCCGAGTACATTAGTATGGACTGACAATTCAAAAAAGATTTAGGTTTGCTCTGGATCTTGTTACCTGACTCCCCCCTTTATGTTGTTGTCCTCCATCTTGCAAACTTCTCACTCTTTCCTACTTTTCTCTTGTAACTTCTTCATTTGTCTGCGCACGTTCATTTAAATCCCTTCCATTGCCTTTCCTTAGTTGTTGCCCCTCACCTCCCTCCTTTACTTGCTTCATTTCCCTCCATCAACCCCGGCCCCCTCCTCACTCTGATACCCCCTTTTGCATATTTTCCCACCACACTCTACAATTACACTTAATGCCTCACAAAAAGCTGCACAGTAATGACGTCCAGGACACACATGTGGGATATCAGACTGGAATGAAAACAGGAAATCATGTGGTGCACTCACTCACATACACACTCAATGGGACACATTTGCACGGAAAGGCTCACACCCACACCCACACAAAACACACACCACACACACACACACACCACACACACACACACCACACACACACACACACACACACACACACACACACACACACACACAACACACACACACACACACACACACCACACACACACACACACACACACACACACACACACACACACACGCACACACACACAGAGCACCGCACTCTTATACCTTGCCAGAACCTGTCACTGTGAGTCCATGGTGAATTTATAAGGCGGGATGGATTGGAGCTGCAGTGCGGCCCAGACTGCAGGGGGAGCAGCGAACACTAATCTCTCACCAGAGGAAAGAAAGGAGTGAAAGTTGAGACAATCCAAAACATTTCAGGCGAAGACTTTAAAGGGTTCCCGACGTGGCTCCACAGCAGCATTTCATGACTTTTTCCTTCAACACTGCAGTATCTCGCTCGCTCGCTAACACACTGAAGACGTTACTCCTCCCTGGGCTGTTAATGTTTTCTAGAGAAACTGCAGTTGCAGCTGTAAAACAACAGGTAATGCCATAATGCATGACTCAAGCCAGGTCAGAGGTGGAAGAAGTGCTCAGATCCTTTCCTCAAGTAAAATAACATGGTCTTAAAATCCTGACTTCAAATGTTTACTTAAGTAACAAAGTGTTTGCATTGAAATGTTTGTTTGTAGCCTTTATTTAACCAGGTGAAGCCCCTTGAGATAAACAAATCTCTTTTTCAAGGGTGACCTGCAGGACATTAGTTACACATGTAACATAAAAACAACAGAACAACAATAAGGATGACATACAACATAATGTACAGGGTCCAGTTTCCAAACTCTATTTACAGAGACAGGTACCATGAGTATCAAACAGCATGTCACCCAGCTGAGTTTTAAAATGATGCAGGGGAACCAAAGTGCTCAGTTTTAAACATGTTTGCAGACTGTTCCAATTTAGTGGAGCTGCACAACTAAAAGCTTTCTTCCCTAAGACAGTCCTAGCACTTGGCACATTTAATAAAACAACATCATGAGATCTCAGGCAATATGTACTTTCAATTCGTCGAGAGATCAGAGAGCAGATATAAAAAGGTAGTTTACCCAACATGGCTTTGTAAATGAACATGTACCAATGACTGAGCCTCCGTACAGTTAGTGAAGGCAGACCTGCCTTGGCATACAGGGTACAGTGATGAGTAAGTGCTTTACAGTTAGTAACAAATCTCAGGGCACTGTGATAGGCGGCATCTAACTTTTCCAGGCAATGGACAGGTGCATTCATATAGATCAAATCACCATAGTCCAGCACAGGTAAAAAGGTCACAGAGCCTTTTCCTGGCCTCAAGCGAGAAACAGGACTTGTTTCTGAAAAAGAAACCTAGTCTAACCCTCAGCTTTTTAAGCAGATTAATGACCTGAAGTTTAAAAGTAAGACAATCATCAAGCCAGATACCTAGGTATTTATAACAGGTAACCATTTTGAGTACTTGTCCTTGCATAGTAACAATATCCAAAGCAGTGTCTGTAGTCTTTAATGTAGAAAAAGTTCTACAAAATGGCCCGTTTCAGAATAATATAAAGTACAGGAGATGTATCTGTTAAATGTACAAAAGTAAAAGTACCATGTAAGTAAATGTCTCTTTAAAAGTATTGCATTATTATAGATGGTTATATTACCTTGTTTTTTAATCACATTTAATGTTTAGTTTGTCAATGTGGAGCAAGTTTTTGACAGAAAATGCAGGGTTTATTGGTAGTACCAAATTCCATCATATGAGATAATTATATCATATATTTTATATTAAAAGGCAGTGGCGAACCGTGTCTATCACAACTGGACCTTCTGTAGACACACACACCCGCCGCTGAGTGCTCCAGGGTATTCTCTGAATACCTTGAAGGTCCTGACGGTTCGCCACTGTTAAAAGGTAACTACTAACTATGAGTGTTAGATAAATAAAGGGGAGGAACACGCACAATATGTTCCTCTGAGTATGTATGTATGAAATGGAAAAACTCAAATAAAGGACAAATATGTCAAAATATTACTACAGTACTTGGGGAAATGTACATATGCCATCACTGATACACTCAATGACTCAAAAACGTCAGATTCCCTGAATTTCGTGAACTACACATTCATTTACTGAGCAGAAAGTGTTGGTCTGTGCAGAGCATGTGCTTCCCTGTGAGAGGCAGCTGATAGTGAGGGTCAAGGGTTGAGAAACACTGCTTTCACTGATTTCTGCTCAACACTGCACATTCTTCTCAAGCCTGCTGATAGCAACAATACCATGCTATTACTGGCACTACTTTAAATCTTCCGTATACTAATGATGTAATATATTTTATGTTGGAATTTGTCATTCAGCATAGAAAATCATAAACAATGTACTATAAAAATAAAGAGATCTTTGTTGACAAAAACCAAAAGGACCAGCTAGTTTTTTAGTCTTTTCAAAACATACACATACATCTGGTTATCTCATGGTGAAGTACCTGGAAGGCATTGCTTTCATGACTTTTGAATGTAATTTCCCTTATATTTTAACCACACGATGTGTACCTCACTCATCACCAGAGTTTCATATTGGCAAATCTGTTTAAAGAAGAGCGATTAAACTCATTTTCAGGTTCATATTTGTACTTTGTGTCTCTCCTGTGACATGTCTCCATGCTTTAATGTTCAAAAAGCTCTTTATTGTTCTCATACTGCCTGTGCTGCAGCACCTCTTTTCACCCTCTGTCTGAAACCAGAGCCCAGGCTACTCTGATTGGTTAGCTGGCCGACTCTGTTGTGATTGGTCAACTGCTTAGAGATGTCCCGCCCCTTAGCCTATCACATACAATGTGTTAACACTAGCCAATAGAAGCGCGAGTGTTACTAAGTGATGTCACTTTGTACTGGAAGTTAACAAAGGAGTCGATTGGAGGCGTTTCATGTGTGTTTTTTTTGATATACTTTATTAATCCCTCTTGGGGAAATTGTTTCTCTGCATTTGACCCATCCTAGTGTTAGGAGCAGTGTGCTGCCATTTTGAACGGCGCCCGGGGAGCAGTGTAGGGAACAGTGCCTTGCTCAGGGACTCTTGCCGGGACTTGAACTGGTGACCTTCCAGTTGCCAAGCCAAGTCCTTATGGACTTCGCCACCACCGTGTTATCTGTCATTTTGTGTTACTTATCAGCTACAGTCTTCCAGTAATAAAGGGCATTGACTGATGTCATTGAACAGCTGAATGCACTGAATACATGATAGAGCAAAGAGAGGGTAAGGCCTACAAAGTTAGAGAAGTTAGTTTGTCTAAAAAACAGCGATGCTAATGTTACCGAACAACAACAAGCTCAGCAAAACCCTCTGTGCATAATTAAGGGATAATAATACCCAAAGTCGGAGCACCACCTTCAAACACTGAGGAGAGGCTTCCAGACCAAATCTGTAGTTGGATTCAGAGCAGGGGAAGAAAACAAGGAGAAGAAGAAGAGAGGAAAACAAGGAAACAAAGGCAACGCGAGAAGAATACAAAGAGACGAAAGGAAAGCAAAGAGAGAGAGACAGTGAAAGAGAGCCCTGCTCACACCATGTAAGGCTTTATCCACAAACAATGAAACCAGACTTGAGAGCAATATCTCTCAGTGTCACATTCTCGCCGTCTCCATGGTTTTAGTGTTTCCTGCTTGGCTGTAACTGACTGCTGTTGAGATGAAGGCAGATCTGGCGTAGGCTGAGCTGTTTGCGGGGAATCGAGGATTAAATGGCCATTGAGAAGCGGCGTAAACACAAGCCAATCAGACCCTGCTAGTTCGGCTTCTGCCTATTCAATCTGGTGGTGTTGTTTGGCTCGCACGCTGAGGTGAGTCATGTTTTGGAAAGTGTGCTGATCCTGCAAACTGTCTTACTCTTTGGTTATCTTGAGGTTTAGAGTTTGAAAGAGCTTTTCTCAAACTGTCACAAACGAGAAAACACAGACTCTCACTCCTCCCTGCATTTCTCCCTCCTTTCTCCATTCTCCATTCTCCATGTATAACAGTGGCTATTAGTGTGATGTCAGGGCGTTTCCACAGGTTAACCGAAGGTAAACAAAAAAGAGAAAACCTGAAACCTTGAATACATGAAATATTTAACTACATGTCGACTCTTTATGAAAGAGAGATACAAACAACCACCCGTTCACCACAATATCCTCCTGCTATGAATCCTATTCCATTGAAGTGAATTCAAGGAAGAAACACGGAGATCAAACTGTCCAAAAACTGCACGTCCTGCAGCTGGTGACACTTCTGAAGCTATAAATGGGCAGAAAAGGAGGAAGGCCAGCAGGAAATGTACAGCGAGTTAAATAAGGCCGACGTGATGCAGGCCTGCAGGACTGAACCTGATCATCTACAAGTGGACATGCAGTGCGAATAAAAATCTGTCTGCACCGACAAACAAGACTCAGTTTAGCCGACTCAGCTCCCCTCAGCCACTAAAAGTCCCGGCAGTGCTAATTAGAAAACTCATTAAATTGTTATTTCACTAATATCTCAAGTCAACATTCATGTCTTTTTACTGCAAAGGTGGATTTTTTTACTACAAATGGTGTTATATTGTGTATTATCTACTCTGATGTCCTTTCTATTGTGAATTTGCATATATTTGCCACTAATGTGAATTTTCTATCCATCTGATGAACCAACAATGGCCGTGTTTGTGTGATGGCGCCTCACCTCCGTTCAGGGAGCCGTTGTGGGGTAATACTTTTGTGGCGTAGTCATGGCCGCCGTGCGTTTTGGCCCCTTCAGCGGGGGGGGCCTCGGTCTCCAGCTGGCCTTCCTCCTCCACGATGTGCAGCTTGTCCTCGTCATCAGAGTCTGAACTGGCCTCCAATCCGCCATCGTTGAATTCTGTCACTGCGGAGAAGACACACAGAGACGGAAGATTATCTAACTTGTAACACAAATTACGATTGATCAGAATCAGGTTTATCGCCAGGTATTACGTTACAAGCAATTTACTTTGGTGTATGAAAACCACAACCATATGAAAAATAAACAACATAAGAAAATGAGATGTAAGAGAAGGTCAAAAATATATATCGAATAAAAAAGAGAAAATATTTTAAATAACTATTTTTGCATGAACAAAAATAAAGACAAGTTTTACACAAAATCTTTATTTACAAAAGAAAATAAAAAAATAATATAAGCCCTCCAATATAAGGGCTGTGCAGAGATGTGTACAATACTCAGAGGGATGAACATGACTCTCAGTATATAAAAAAATAACAATATATTGGTCACATGATGTGCATTATGGGGTGGATCCGCTGTGTAGCGTTCATTCTGAGTCCCAGTGTTGACAGGGAGAAGCCCCCTGCTGCTGTAATCAGTGTCTGATTTACATCTGGGTTACAGAATATAGGCAATTAACTGCAATTACTGACAAGCAGGACATCAGTGTGATCAGAATCTGAGCTGCAGGGGGAAAGCAAAGCAACGTGGCTCTGATTAGACCCCGAAGTGTCTCTCCTTTATACATTTCTAGCATCTCAGGACATACAAAAAAACATGTTTAACTTACTGACATTTTAAGAATACACAATGAGGTCCATGTCATTTAGCTAATTAATGTAAAATAGGCATTGTGGGATCTTACTCTCTAATTTAAAGCCACTCGTAAACGCCGTAATAGATATATACAACACCAGCCATTTGAGCCTGCCACTGCAAATGTTACAGTAAAAATGTGTCTAACATGAAAGCCATAACGTTGTGTTTATCTTTATGGAAATGTCTTCAAGGCGAGACCCCCGCACCTGAGCTACAAGCGTAAACATAACCCTGCTAACCAATTAGAGAAAGGTGGATCTGCAAAACGCAGCACAACACGGCCTCAATTAGCCGATCTACGCCAAGCAGGACTGAAGGCCACCATGGATCAGAAGACACTCCTGCTGCATCAGATTACATGAGGCACGGACCCCGTATCTTGTGTATGATTATATTTGAACCAAAGAAAGAAGACTGCGTTTTGAAATCACAGAAAAAGACATGTTTCACAGTCGTAGTCACACTTTTATTTTTGATGCAAAAAAGGAAACTGTGTAGGAAAAAAATGAAATTGACATCTCAAAACCCAATTAACTAGCCACAATCAAAACTGTTTCAACTCCGAACCACATCTGACGTTCTCTGATATCATTTGCTCCAAACTTCCTCACCTCAGTCGACTTCTGACTGGAGGTACACACATTTTCCTTCTCTTCACAAAAATGAATCACTTGTATATCAGCCTCAGGAAACAAATCTATGTACACTGTGCTGCAGTCCATGAGCTTCTAACAACAGCTCAGAGTGAAAAATTAACCAACAGGATGTTATTCATTATTCATGTGTGTGTGTGTGTGTGTGTGTGTGTGTGCCTCTCTCTACAACAGGGTGGCTGTGGCGCACACACACACACACACACACACACACACACACACACACACACACACACACACACACACACACACACACACACACACACACACACACACACACACACACACACACACTACCAGAAGTGATGAGGAGCTTCAGGGAGACAAATGCTGTCTATGATCCAGATAGACAAGTACGGAGCTTGGAATTCAAAAGTGTGTGTGTGTGTGTGTGTGTGTGTGTGTGTGTGTGTGTGTGTGTGTGTGTGGTCTAGCATTACTATACTTGTGGGGACCTAAATCTGTTTACATAGTCACGTGTGGGGACTGGCTTCCCTTATGGGGACAAATTGGAGGTCCCCATAAGGGGAATCATTAATTTTAGGGTGAAGACTTGGTTAGGGTTAGGCATGTGTTGGTTATGGTTAAGGTTAGGATAAGTCTCCAGGAAATGCATGTAAGTCAATGTAATGTCCCCTGAAGTGATGTATACATGGTGTGTGTGTGTGTGTGTGTGTGTGTGTGTGTGTGTGTGTGTGTGTGTGTATGTGTGTGTTTGTAAGAGGCTGGAGCAGAGAGAGAGTAATATGTCTGTATGCAGGAGATCTAGTTTGTGATTTCATTTATAAGCCAGAGGATGGAGAGAAACACTTTGTTTGCTGTTTGAAATAAAAAAGATAGGATTACACTGTTTTGATCCCGTCAGGTGTCTTAGCAGCGACAGCAATACGGGTGAAACACAGGGTAGGACAGATATGAATGATTAACATGAATCACAATAATGATGGATATACAGATATCAACAGATAATAGGACAGATTGAGGTTAGATCTTCATCATGTGCAGTTATCATTACAACAGACAGGGGGCACTGCTGAGCAGAGTAGGAAAGAGGAAAGGAGAAGTGCTTCCTCCTAACACATGTGATGTAAACAACAAACAGTGTGTCTCTGAGAGCATCTGCCCCCAGACTTTCTGTAGACTGGACTGAAGTGTTTTCTGTGCTTTCTGCTTTTGTTTTTTACTTCCTGTGTTCTCTTTCACACATTCATACAGAGGCAGAGACTACCCCACAAGGTGCCATCTGCTCCTGGGACTTTCATTCACACACTGTTGGCCATCGGGGGGTTAAAGGGGCCCTATAATGCTTTTAGGGGGTTTCCCTTTCCTGTCGTGTGTTATCTAAGTTTCTGTGCATGTCCATGCTCTGCAAAGGCTAAACTCCCAGAGAATCCCTCCAGAGGTAGTTTCTCTCTCAAACTATAAGTGATAAGATAAGTAACAAAACATGACAGTGAACACATCCCCCCCTGCCTGAAACGCCTCCATTGGACTCCTTTGTTTACTTCTATAACATAGTGACATCACTATGTAACACTCACGCTAGGGCTGTGCGATTATGGCAAAAATCATAATCACGATTATTTGGGTCAATAATTGATATCACGATTATTTTGACGATTATTCATTGACCATTTATTGAACTTTAAAACAAATAATATTTTACCAATAAACAAGAACAAATATGTTGGACCGCACTTCCAAAACCATACTAAACATATATTATTAATATGATAAATAAAAATAAATTGGACCAAAATAAATTAAATCAAACATGATGCAGTGCACTGTCACAACCTACTGAAAACTCCTTAATATATAGCCAACATTTTGGTAAAACATATTCAACATATTCCACTCAGGCTGGCCAACCGTCATGGTCCAGAAGTAAAAGGAAATAAATGTTGAACTACAATTTAAGACCAAATAAAAAAAATGTAGGCCACCATGGCAAATGCTGGTAGGGCTGCTCATGTCATCTCTTAAAGATGTTTTGCAAGAAACACCAGCCTGTTGACATGGTCTGGTTTCAGAGATGAGCGCAGGCAGGTGACGATATTGCCACCTGTACTGAAGACCCTCAGCCACGCTCCGACACATGTGACGCCGGCCAATCACAAAGCTTTGATGCGTTCAAGTGCATTATTCTGGCACAGGAAGATTATGTTACAGGACATAAAACAGAATATTGTTGTTCTATTTGTAGACACATCTCGCGATCGACTGGTTGGGCACCCCTGGGCTAGACCATAGGACTGTTGTGATAGCAAAGTAGTCAGCTGAAGCCACATCTCTCTCAACTTCCCCACGGCATTTGTCATATAGTGCAGGCAGCGCAGACCTGCTGAAATAATACCGAGACGGCATCGCGTAACGCTTGTCCAACGTGTTGACAAGTTGCTTAAAGCCCTGGTTGCTAACAGTGCTAACTGGGCACATATCTTTAGCGATGTGAAATGTAAAGGCAAAGTACTTGCAAATAGTGGAAATAGTTTTACCCTTCTTTTTAACGAGTTGCTGCTCTTGTTCTGACATCTTCGCTCTCGCTGAACACTCACAACACATGTCACTCCCACGTGGCCGAGTGGGCTTTTAGGGAGGGGCGAAAGCGCACCCAGCAAAAATAATCGTATTTTGTCAATTATGCTGTTTTCATAATCGTCGCAAGCCATAATCGTAATCGCGATTAAAATACGATTAATTGCACAGCCCTAACTCACGCTTCTATTGGCTAGAGCTCCGACACATTGTACGTGATAGGCTAAGGGGGCGGGACATCTCTAAGCGGTTGACCAGTCACAACAGTGCCGGCCAGCTAACCAATCAGAGCAGACTGGGCTCTGGTTTCAGATAGACACTACATACTGATATGAACCTGAACATGACTCAAATATGGCCCCTTTATTATTATGTATTTCTCCCAAGTTCCTTTAATCTGTCTCCTTGTATATATCTCCATACATAAAAGTCCTACGACAACTTCCCTGTGTGTGTGTGTTTAGATCCAGAGAGAGTTTGGGAGCTTGGTCTGAACAACCAGACAATGAGTCAAGTGAACTGTTAATCCTCCATCTGGAGATCTGTAGAGAGGAGAGGCCAGCTAAGAGAGGAAGAGAAATGTCTAGACTGTAGCATTCCTCCCGTCTTGCCATCTATCACTTTAATTAACAATCTGTTTCATAACAGGTCCCTTCATTACTCCTACAAACTAATATTTCTTCTGAGTTTCCTTCTGATTACTAACTGGATTTCTGCCACTTTAATTTATGAATTTGTTCTGTGTCGTATTTTCATCATGAATCAAAAAGTCTCCAATGATATCTACAACAGGTACCAAAAATCACTGTTCTTTTTGTACAGTTGTATCCACTGAACTCTGTCTTGCTTTAACCATTCAATGAGGGGAAAAGGAGTTTCTCTTATATAAGAAATAGACGGAATACAGAGGCAGACCCACATCAGGACACGTGACCCTGGAGGGGGAAATTATGTGCGTCTGACGCCACAACACAACCCTGACTCGACCACATGGTTTCTGAGTCACAGGTCGGCTGCTGTGCAACGGGAAGAGGGGGTGGGAGAGAGGACAAGCTATAAATAGACTTCCATAAATACATACAGTAAATACAGTATACAAGGAGTAAATAG